ATTTATTTATTTATTTATTTATTATTTTATGTGTATGAGTGTATTGCCACATGTATGTAAGTGCACTCGTGTAGTGCAATGCCTGTGGAGAACAGAAGAAGGTGTCGGAGCCCTTGGAACTGGAGTTACAGACAGTAGTTAGCTGCCATGTGGGTGCTGGGATTCAAACCTGGGTCTTCTGCAAGAACAGTGTTCTGAACCATCTCTCCAGCCCTACGATTTGATATTTTAACTAAGTGTACAATAATTAAGGGATGTTAGATATCTCTATAAGTTGCAACCATCACTACTATCCATTTCTAGAACTTGTATATAATCTCAGACTCTAGCCATTAAACAATGACTCCTCATTTCCTCTCCCTCCAGTCCCTGGTAACCTTTAATCTATTTTATGTGCATGAATTTGCCTATTCTAGACATTTTCTATGAGTAAAATCATATGGTGTTTTCCTTTCATATCTGGCACATTTTCACTTAGTGTGTGCTAGTCAATATGTAAACATTCTTTTTGAAAGCTGAATGCTACTCTGTTGTACATATGGACCACGTTTTGTTTGATGACACATAGATCATTGCTACCTTTGGCTAACCTCTGAGCCATTTTAAAAATGAGTGGAATGATTTTTCTGCCCATAACGTACTTTCTTGATCAGTCAGCATGCCTCTTAGGTCTGATCTAGAGAATACAACATACTTGGGTGGCACAAAGCATTGTACCCATTGGGTAAAGGGCTGCTTAGAGGCCGTCCTGCCCTGGAGTCCACTGAAGCCCTGCCTGGGCACCTTTTCCTGGCTCAGTAGTACCCGCTTCTCTGCACACTCCTCATGCTGGGCTGGTTAGTTCCCTCAGGCTTGCCATTCATAATTGTTTTTGTTTGCAGAGTGTCAGATACTCCCGGGTGCTCCTCAAGAACCTGCACCTGGACCTGGGGACTCTGGGGGGCAACTTTGAGTATGAGGTAAGAGCCTGAAGACCCTGCTGTCTGATGCCTCTGCCTGGTTCCCTTTCTTTGTTCTGAAGCTTTTCAGTTTTTGCAGAGGCATATCTGGAAAGGGAGCCATTCTGTCCCAGCCTTGTGCAGGGCTTCTGGGTCTGGGACAGGGAATTCATTCATTTTCTCTGATTTTTATGACCATGAAAGTTCCTACATTAGTAGGTACTTTGCTTTTGTGGCTCAGTGTCATATGAGCAGAAATGAGAGCTGTATGCTTATGGCCCTCTTGAGTTCTGCAGTCTCAGCCTATAGAGGGAGGAACGTGCTTGTCTAGATACCAGGGAAACTTGGTTGGAGAGATGCCATTTGACTTGGGTCTTGAAGAGAAGCTAAGTTTAGACAGGGATGATACCAGGAAATAGTCTTGGCAAACAAATAGTCCATGCAAAGATGGAAACCTGGGAAAAAGCAGAATATGGAAGGGAGGTACTTCTAGGACATGCTTCCAAGTTCCCATCCCTTCCTCTGAGACCTGTCCTCTGCTGCTGTCAGAATGTTCTAAAGAACAAACGAGCAGTAACTCACTGTATTATAAGACCTGAAACCTTCAATGCATTTTTCTAGAGTGTGATAATAGCAGTTGCAGGAAAGGAACATTTTCCTCTGTATATCCTCTGTTCAGTGTCTATTGTGTGTCCTGTCTCCTGCCCAGTGTATACTGTATGCTCTCTGTCTAGTGTCTGATTTGGTAAATTTTTTTTTTTTGAGACAGCATCTCCCTGTAGCCCCAGCTGTCCTGGAACTCACTATGTAGACCAGGCTGGCCTTGAACTCACAGAAATCCACTTGCCTCTGCCTCCTGAGTGCTGGGATTAAAGGTATGTGCTACCATGTCTAGCCCTGATTTGGTAATTTTTAAAAATTTTTTTTGATCCTTTTGAGACAGCATCTGCCTATAGGCCCAGGTGGACTGGAACTCACTATGTAGACCAGGCTGGCCTTGACTCATAGAGATCCGCCTGCCTCTGCTGGCATTAAAGGCGTGCACCACCACGCCTAGTTCCTATATTACATTCTTTTAAATACCTTGAGCACCTTAAAGTAAAAAAGTCACTCTTATGATTATGGAATGCTGATCCCTAAATGGGATACCTGTATCACAGCTTCTCCTCCCAAGGCTTAGGGATAATTGTGGAAAAGGAGGTGGAAAGACTTTAAGAGCCAGAGGTGGTAACTGACTTTAAGGAAACGGTGTTTTCCGGACAACAGGGAAGTTCATCATATGAACTCACAGCATTTGTGACAATATGCACAAGAACTCTGTCAAGCTCAAGCCAGACAAAACCCTAGCACAGAGATGGGGAGGTGAGTAAGAAGCCCAGCCCTAGCTGAGGAACTATTGGTACTTGATGTTGTTGGGAGAGGGGGAGTCAGTTTTCTTTAAGGGTGTGACACTGGGTAGGGTGATCAGGTTCTAGGGGATGCATTCACACTTAAGAGTATATGGGGACACAAATTAGACTCTATAAGCCTTAAAAAAAATAATAGAGGACATGAATTTGGGGGTATGTGGGTACTAACACAGGGGTTACTACCCCTGTGAGATGGGGGAAAGACCTGAATATGATGAAAATACATTGTATGCAGTTTGCAAAGATTCAGTAAAAATGAATAATAAAAAAAGAAATATCCTCTGACACACACACACACAGAGCCACTCTTAAATTATTAGAATGATCACAAAGCGGACCGATAAAACAAATGTGCTCCCATCACAGGCTGCTTTCTTTTTAATTTTTTTTCTTTTTTGGTCTTTTTGAGACAGGGTCTCCCTGTAGCCCCAGCTGGCCTGGAACTCACGTTGTACACCAGCCTGGCCTTGAACTCACAGAGATCTGCCTGCCTCTGCCTCCCTAGTGCTGGGACTAAAGGTGTGTGCCACCACACCTGGCTTTTAATGTTTAAAAAAATATTATTTTTTTATGTGTATGAGTATATTGCCTGCATGTATGTAAGTGCACCCATGTTGTACGATGCTCAAGGAGGTCAGAAGAAGTCATTGGATTCCCCTGGAACAGGAGTTACAGATGGTTGTTAGCTGCCATGTGGGTGCTGGGAATTGAACCTGGGTCCTCTGTAAGAGCAGCCAATGCTCTTAACGGTTGGGCCATCTCTCTAGCCCATCCTTAATTTTTTAGAAGACTTTTAAAATTATTATTTTTATTTTATGTGTATGAGTGTATTGCTTGCATGTGTATAAGTGCACCTGTGTTGTGCAATGCCCAGGGAGGTCAGATGAGGGTGTTGGATCCCCTGGAACTGGAGTTTAGAACAGTTGTTAGCCGCCATGTGGGTGCTGGGAATCGAACCTGGGTCTTCTGTAAGAGCAGTTCATGCTCTTAAGTGCTGAGCCATCTCTCTAGCCCCCCCATCTTTTTTTTTTTTTTTTTGTCTTTTTGAGACAGGGTCTCCGTGTAGCCCCAGCTGTCCTGGAACTCACTATGTAGACCAGGCTGGCCTTGAACTCACAGAGATCCGCCTGCCTCTGCCTCCCGAGTGCTGGGATTAAAGGTGTGCGCCACCATGCCCGGCTTCTTTTTAATTTTTTTGACTGATTTATTTTTAACTGATTTATATTCTGTTTATGTTATTTTTTTGACTGATTTATTTTTAACAGATTTATGTTATGTGTATGAATGTTTTGCCTATATGTATATAAGTGCACCTTGTACAGTGCCTGTGGAGGTCAGAAGAGGGCATTGGATTCCTTAGAACTGGAGTTATGGATGATTGTTAGCCACCAATGTGGATGCTGGGAACTGAACACCAGTCCTCTGCAAGAACAGCCAGTGCTCTTAATTACTGAGCCATCTCTCCAGCCCCACAATTGGCTTCTTTATTATCCCTTATTATTTCTTTTTTTCTCTGTGTGTGTGTGTGTGTGTGTGTGTGTGTATTGTATGTATGCGTATGTGCACATGTGTATGTGTGGTGCCCATGCTCAAGTGCGTGCGTGTGGAGGCCAGAGGAGGACAGTGGGTCCTGCTCCATCACCTTCTGTCTTATTCCCTCGAGATAGTGTCTCTCACTGAGCCTGTAGCTAAGGCAGCAGCCCCCAAACCCCAGCAGTCCTTCTGTGTGTGTCCCGCACATTGCTGGGGTTACAGACGTGTGACTATACCTGGTTTTTTATGTGGGTCCTGGAGATAGAACTTGGGTAATCAGGCTTGGTGGCAAGTGAAATTTATCTCACCAGCATGATTCCTTATTATTTTTGATTCATATTTTTTGGTTCTCACCACACCTGGGGAGTCAGGTACTGTCTCAGGCTGGCTGAGGCTTCAGGTGCTGGCTGACGGGCTCTGGTTTGCTACTTGAGACCTGCATTGTGGGAACACCCCATAAGGGGACCCAACTCGACCTTTTGGGCAGGACCCATTTCATAGTGAGGCTTTGCCTGTTTTCTCAGAAACTGTCCAACTTTTTGGTTCTGCACAGTCAGATATGTTTTGTGGCTTTAACACTTTCTGCCAAATGCGACACTTTTTTTCTGAGTGTCCCATCTGTAGTTTCAGTCTGATACATGTTTGCTTTGAAACGGTTACTTCTGACTGGAGCCTAGTTTGGTTGGGGTAGAGAATTCAGTTGGTTGTCTGACATGAGGACTTTGTTTTTTGTCTCACTCACTGTTAACCAGTATAGACTAACTGGTGGTCTCAATGGAAATGCTCAGTTTTACACCTAGGATGATTGTGATTAGGAGGAGGGGAGTCAGGAAGACTTGCTTGCTTTTGGTAAAGAAGGATAGTTTCCTGGAGACTGAGCATATTGAGGTGTAGATCCTGCCTGTGTAATTGATGCCTGCACACCCAGCACCTAGCCCACTGTACACCCAGCACCTAACCCACTGTACACCCAACACCTAGCCCACTGTACACCCAGCACCTAACCCACTGTACACCCAGCACCTAACCCACTGTATACCCAGCACCTAGCCCACTGTACACCCAGTACCTAACCCACTGTACACCCAGCACCTAGCCCACTGTATACCCAGCAGCTAGCCCACTGTACACCAGCACCTAGCCCACTGTACACCCAGCACCTAACCCACTGTACACCCAGCACCTAGCCCACTGTACACACCCAGCACCTAACCCACTGTATACCTAGCACCTAACCCACTGTACACCCAGCACCTAGCCCACTGTACACCCAGCACCTGACCTACTGTACACCCAGTACCTAGCCCACTGTACACCCAGCACCTAACCCCCTGTACACCCAGCACCTAGCCCACTGTATACCCAGCACCTAGCCCACTGTACACCAGCACCTAGCCCATTGTCTGGAACATAGGAAGTGCTTGAGTATGCTTTATTTAATAGCTGAGACAGTGAATAAATGAATGAATGAATGAATGAATGAATGAATGAGCCATACTTGGAGGGGGTGGGTGTGTCAAGGCCTGTTGGGTGGTATTTTTTCCTTCCCTTGGCTTTCTCAGGTTGTATAGAGTAGATATTTGGTCCTTGCTGAGGAGATGATGGGTTGAAGATCCCATTGTAGATTCATATTAATTCTGACCTTGAGTTTTACTTCTTAATGGATTACCAATGCCAACCAAAAAAGGATATTTTCATCTTTGACATATCTTGGACTCCTGAATCTTTCCCTCTGGTGATCAGTGGTAAAGGCGCTTTTTTTTTTGTTTGTTTGTTTGTTTTTTTTCTCTTTTTGAGACAGGGTCTCCCTGTAGCCCCAACTGTCCTGGAACTCACTATGTAGACCAGGCTGGCCTTGAACTCACAGAGATCTGCCTGCCTCTGCCTCCTGAGTGCTGGGATTAAAGGTGTGCGCCACCAAGCCCAGCAGGAAAGGCGCTTTTTAAACATTTTTTTTGTAGCTGGTTTGGCACCACAGCATGATGGGGAAATGTCTGGAGTAGGAGATGCTCAGTACACCTCCTGTCTTCAGTTCTCTGCCACATGGAGTGTTAGAGTCCTATGTTTTAACCTCAGGTA